TCTGTTCAACTAAATTACTTAGCCAGTCTCTCCCTTTAAACAAAAACAATTTCTCTCGTGAACCTGCAGTATACTATGCAGTGCACATGGTTATAGATTACCCACCCTTGGACAAATTAATGCACACATGAATGCTAAAGGCTCAGATCAGAGATATAACCATGGCTGTGCAAATATAGCTGGGCACGTTCCAACTTTTTCAAACGGTTTATAAAATCTTTAATGGTCGTAAACACAAAAGATGACATTTAAAAACATCAAAACACGTTACAAACGTATTTATCTTTCCACGTTTCATGCAATTTTTAAAAGAAAAAAAACGAAATTCACCGTTTTTTAAAATCCGTTTCATTTTCGTTTTCAATTGTTAATCCGTTTCGTTAATGAGTTAAAATTTAACGGTTTTTGCCGTTCGTTAATAAGCTCTTCCGTTAATTTTCAAAACCTCTGTTTATTTAACAGAATTTTCCCAGCCCTATGAGCAACTTTCCCTTAAAAAATCCCATTTTTTATTTATCGGAAATTCCGTTTGTGCCTCAAATTGTTAACAAAACAAAAGAACCCGGCATGGCATGGACAAAATAGAGAGAAAATTAAAAGGAACAAACGTATGTTTTTTAAAATAACGGTAAATTTCGTGGATTTCTATAGTTTGAATTGAATAACAAATATAAAATATGACTAAACAAACGCCGGCGTTAACAACAATTGAGATCGTTAACGACTGAAAAATTCACCAGACGAACGGAAAAACCGCTATAAGAACTGACAATTCAGTTAGTTTGGTTCAGTTTATTTTCCAACCGTTAACGCATGGATTAAAAAAGATTTGAACGTATCCATGTCCATAGATAAAACTGAACCATCAATCTTTTCTTATTGAAACCCTGGGATCCTGTATATAAAAATCAACCCTTTATATCTCGATTAGAAGCTTTTTTTGTATTAGAGACCCATGACAGTTTGGAGTATTTTTACGTTTACTAGATGTTGTTATTTTGCAATAATTTTACTTTTAACGTACCAATTAACTTTTTAAGTAAAAAGGGTTTAACCTTATTCCTACTCGACCCCCCCCCCTATTTTAATAAAAGGGTTAAATACATACTGCTACCCCACCCCTCCGCTCTGCATAAAGTTTCCGTATTGAGATACTAATTCGTGGCATTTCATATATATTTGGAAACCCTTATACTTTAAAATCTAGAAAAAAATGGTAAAAATTAAAATATTTAATGCAATATCAAGTTGTGTAAGCAAAAACATGTGCAAAAACAACGCAAAAGTGGCCGGCATTGCACATAGTATGTTAAAGACAATAAAAAATAATAAAAATCTGAATTTTGAAATAACATATATCCCAGCCTAGGGATGTTAACGTTTTCATTTTTTTTGAAAAACGATCGTTTCGTTATGAAAACGACGACGAAAAATCGAAAACGAAACGATTGTTTTTTTTAAAAGTTCGTTTTTTTTTAAAATGGTCGTTTTTTAAACGATCGTCTTGAAAAATGACTGTTTTAAAAACGATTATTTCTCAAAATGATCGTTTTTTATAATACTAGTCGTTTTGTTAACGATCGTTAACGACGAGCCTTCGTTAACGATCGTTAACGAAGAGAGGAAACCGACCTGAAGGGCATCTGTCCCAATAATTGAGTAGTTTTAGCTCCCCAAAAAGTGTTTTACTACATGTAAGACGACATTTAATAAAGTTGCATGTAATTTATTTCCAAAAACGACCGTTCTTATAAAGTTCGTCGTTTCGTTAACGATCGTTAAAATAATTGTCAATCCCTTTTTTTGAAAAACGATCGTTTTTTTGAAAAACAATCGTATAAAAAACGGTCGCAAATCGTTTTTTGTAAATTTGTTTTCTAAAAGTTCGAAACGAGTGGGTCGTTTTGAAAAACGATCGTTTTTTTTCGAAAACGAAACGATCATTTTTGAAAACGATTGAAAAACAAAAAAAAACGATCGTTTAATGATCTTTTTCAAAACGATCAACAACCCTAGGTACCCATGGGTTAACTCAAAAAATCTTAGCCAATTTGGAATAGCCGCTTGGTCAGCTAAGTGCAGATCTTTATTTTATAGATTATTCATTTTTTTTAAAAACACCAACCTATAGCTAATTGAAATAGCTATTTTTTTCAATTTGAGAAATTCAAGAAAACCCCTTGGCAACATTAGGGTTAATTATCCTATTCTTTAACCTTTCATGTTACACGCGTGCATGTTGACGACACCAGGTTTTGTTATAATCCAGATTCTTATGAAAAGATTATATTTTATGAAAATAAAACTTGTTACGATTAGGTTCGAAAACATCTACATTACATGCTCTGTGCATTTTTAGATATTCAACCCGAGGCCGAATTTAAAAAATTTGAGCGGCGGCTTAAATTTTAGCCGCGGCTTAAATATGGTTGTTTCCATTTAAAATTGTATTTAATGTTTCAAGATTTAAGCCGGCCCTCAATTGAAACCGGTATTTGGCGGATTTAAGCCGCGGCTCAAATTCTTTAAATTCGGCCTCCGATTTGGCAAATAAAATACTTGTTTTATTTGCAAAGTCATTAAATATAAACTTAAACCTGTTGGTTGGAGCCAATTTGCACTTTAAAAAATATTATTAAAGGGACGGTTAGCGTAAGTTCAAGTGACCCTCAATGCAAAGATGGCAATGCCTGAATCACAATGATATCCTTAAAACCTTTATCTTATCAATAATATGGAAGCTTTTTTTTCTGGGTTTAAAAGTTTTCAATTCTGATATTTTCTGTATGTTATCCTGCAGTAAAAATTCACAAGTAACTTTTGTAAAAATATCACAATTGAAATTATAATAGAAACTAGCTGAAGGGCCCGGCGATGCCCGTGGCTAAAAATTTTTTTTTAATTTTTTTGAAAAACTATTTGAAAAAAAAATTAAATTTCCAATTTTTAGCCTATAACATTCCCCGGCCACCCCTGATTGTCCACACAAAATTTCAGCCATATCAGTCCAGGAAAGACCAATTGAAATTTCGTTCACAGTCCCTTTAAAATTAGATATTTTTTAATTAAAAAATTTACATATTTAAGCCAAGCAAGCAAGATCTCTAAAAAACAGGGAGTTCCAAAAAAACATCGATGATAATGATAATAGTCACCAAAATTATGTTATTTTGTGTCCACCCTTAATTTACTTATCAATCAATATTCAACTAAGTATAAATCCTATGCCCCAAAAAATCCCTAACTGTGCCAAGAGACATTTACATCTGATTAAAACAACTTTAATCTGCACGCAATACAATTTTTTTAAAAGTTTATAAAGATGTGGGTGGTTGAAACCTAAAGACCAAAAGTTGTGGGTGGTTTGAAACCTAGAGATCAGAATGTGTGAATGCTTTGAAACCTAAATACCGGACCGTATAAGGTGTGGGTGGTTTGAAACCTAAATACCAAAATAAACGGGTGAACCTAAATACCGTAAGGTGTGGATGGTTTGAAACCTAAAGACCAGTAAAGTGGATGGTTTGAAACCTAAATACCATAAGGTGTGGGTGGTTTGAAACCTAAATACCAGTAGAAGTGGGTGGTTTGAAACCTAACAACCAGAAGAAATATGTGGTTTGAAACCTGAATACCAGTAGAAGTGGGTGGTTTGAAACCAAAAGACCAGTAGCAGTGGGTTGTTTCAAACCTAAAGACCAGAAGGTGTGGGTGGTTTGAAACCTAAATACCAGTAGAAGTGGGTGGTTTGAAACCTAAAGGCCAGAATGTGTGGGTGGTTTGAAACCTAAATACCAGAAGGTGTAGATGGTTTGAAACTTGCATTCCAGAAGGTATGGGAGGTTTGAAATCTAAATATCAGAAGGTGTAGATGGTTTGAAACTTAAGTACCAATATAAGTGGTTGGTTTGAAACCTAATTACCAATTTAAGTGGGTGGTTTAAAATCTAAATACCAATATAATTGGGTAGTTTAAACCCTAAATACCAATATAAGTGGGTGGCTTGAAACCTAAATACCAATAAATGGTGGTTTAAAACCTAAATGCCAGTAGAAGTGGGTGGTTTGAAACCTTAATACAAATATAAGTGGGTGGTTTGAAACCTAATTACCAAGATAAGTTGGTGGCTTAAAGTCTAAATACCAATATAAGTGGGTGGTTTGAAACCTAAATACCAATATAAGTGGGTAGTTTAAAACCTAAATACCAATATAAGTAAGGTGGTTTGAAACCTAAATACAAATATAAGTGGGTGGTTTGAAACCTAAATACAAATATAAGTAGGTGGTTTGAAACATAAATACAAATATAAGTGGGTGGTTTGAAACATAAATACAAATATAAGTGGGTGGTTTGAAACCTAAATACAAATATAAATAGGTGGTTTAAAACCTAAATACAAATATAAGTGGGTGGTTTGAAACCTAAATACAAATATAAGTAGATGGTTTGAAACATAAATACAAATATAAGTGGGTGGTTTGAAACATAAATACAAATATAAGTGGGTGGTTTGAAACCTAAATACAAATATAAATAGGTGGTTTAAAACCTAAATACAAATATAAGTGGGTGGTTTGAAACCTAAATACAAATATAAGTAGATGGTTTGAAACATAAATACAAATATAAATAGGTGGTTTAAAACCTAAATACTAAGTAGGCAAAACAACCAGAAGGTGGGGTAGGTTAAGAGTTAAGGTCAGCTCATTGAAATAAAAAGAAGAAATAAGCTGCCAACGTTATTAGTTCTGGTGTTGTGGAAGATTTAAAAATATGGCAAAAAAGTGTAAAAATGTTGAGAGCAGTATGGTAAAAATAACTACATATAACGCCCCCCCCCCCTCCCCAGCCTGTTTAGGGTTAAGGATTATTTCGGGTTTAAAATACAAGCTTTAAGATTGACAACTAATCTTTTGTCGTCGGACTTTGATTAATTTATGAAAAAATACTTTGCGCAAATATTTTAAAGAGGGTGGCTATACCAGTTCCAGCCAATTCTACTAGTTTCATCAGTTCTTTACAATCCTTCAAACCGGACACCTGGAGGTACAGGGTGTCCCAAATAACATGGGAATTAAGTGACGACTTATTACGTGAACACCATTTTAGTTGTAGTTCAAACTTATGGTCGTGGTAATTCCAATTTTGTTCCTTCAAATTTGACGAAGATAGTGAGGAATTTGTCCAGATTCCAATTCATTAAATAAAACTAAAATCGTTCAAATGTTTTATATCTTTGTCAATTTTGAAGATACTAAAGATCGAAGGCAGATTGTGAATATTGATCATTTCAAGTTTACATGTTCAAGATGTTTTATGTAAAAGATATAAACTAAAATGTCTAGTTTCTGAACATTTTGTAAAGATTTAATACTTATACTCAGTTTTTCTATAATATATCTATATATCAGAAATCAACTANTTCTTGTGTAAAAATCCTGTGTACATCTTGTGAAATAAACTAAAGATTTCATCGTGTAAAACCTCGGTCAATCTCTTTCGTGAAAATTTCGTTCAGCCAATGAAAATGTGAAATTCGCGAAATTTTTTCAAATTTATCGCGAAATTCGCAAAATTCATTCTAAATGTTCGCGAAATTTGCAAAATTCGTTCGATATTTTCGCAAAATTCGTACTGTACACTAAACCTTGCATATAAAAACTTCTAGCTAGCCTGTACATTAAACCCTGTATATAATAACCTCTAGCTGTACACTAAACCTTGCATGTAGTAACTTGTATTTGAAAAGAAGTAGTGAGGGCGCATCTCCTCTCCAGGCTTCATACAGAGCGTCCCATATCATATTAGATTATCTCCAATCTTTAACACCAAAATAAACCCTCAACACTCAAAAAACTTATCATTTTCCGCAAGAAAATTCTTATATGAGCCTTATGTTATTTTTCAAAATGATTCATTCCAATGAAATTTTCTAATTAGTCCCGAAAATCGTAATTTAGACGCGTTCTCGGTCTAATATGATGTGGGATACCCTGTACATCCTATATTTTTCTTTTTCTTTTTTTTTAGTTTGAATCACACTGCCGGATCAATGACTAGTCTAGAGAATCTATTTGAGAAATTATTAAATACTTTGCCTGATATATCTACCTGCATTATTCAAAGGTAAAAACTAAACAATTCAATATTATTTAAAGGGAGTGTTCGCGTAATTTTAAAGGGAGTCACCGGCTTTGTAAGGTAGTTAAACTGAGTATGCAGTGTTGTGGAAAACTTCTTTCGGATTCATTTGAGACATATTAAACTTTTTAAAGATCTGTAAATCCAGAATTTGAGCGCAAAAGGTAAAAAGGCGGGTCGGTGTTTCAAAAAAATCAGAAATGCTTAATAAATTTTGTATTAATTAAAAATCCTTGGAAAATGGAGATAATAGCATAATAGCATGTGTCATATGGTAATATTTGTTAAAAGTAAAAATAATTATTTTTGAAAAAATTTTCGACATGCTTTTTGAACTTTTTAAAAATAGTCTTTCCCACCCTAATCATTAAAGTAATAGAGGGCTAATCTTTTTTAAGAAGGCCTTGAAGAGTTGGACTAGAGATATGTATCACACTCCCCTATCTCAGCTCTAAGGGAAAAATCATAGGACAATAACATCAACAACAAAGTAAACGAAAAATACTTTAAGCAGGAAAAAAAGCTTACGGGCGAAATTTAATGAAATAGAGAAAGGGTGCTGAACAACCTACCGCCGGTTCATATTCTGAATCCCTGATTCAATTAAAAGTCCATAAAGATATTTGAATTGTTGATTCGGAATTTGAACCGACAACTCATATATTCAAATTATAGAAATGATGAAATTTGGAGTGAAGAGGAAAACTCAAAGTCAAGATCAGGTAATTTAATAAAAAAGATCGTGTTTGACCTCTGACATATTTGCGGCATTTCTAATCCCAAAATAAGTACACCTTGGTTTTTTCAAAATGTGGTCTGCCTCCTCTGTGCTTACAAATAATCATGAGTTATGAAGAATTTGGTCAGAAATCTACAATTTTTTTTTCTTCATAAATTAAAATCTGAACAAATTCTTTGATCTCCGATGATTTAAAAAGTTCAAAAAGACATATTCGAATTTTTTGATTATTTTTATGTGAATCAAACTTTTAAATTTAGTTAATGTATGCCTGCCGCAGATTACTTTAAAGGTTAAAGACGATCTTCAAGTCGTGTCTGCTGTTTCGTGGGACAGGGTGTCCCACTTCAAAATACACATAATGCCTTAATTTTGGTACTAGAGGTACAACTGATGTTAATTATACCCATCAAAAAAGTTAGTGAAGGTCATTTCATACATAGTTTAATGTAATTTTCCCCGATTTTTTTTGGCATAAATTCAAATCCCTATATCTTTGCAACCTTATATTCCATAAATATTTTAAACTTGGTTTATTTGATCTAACAGAATTAATATTCTTTAATAACTAAGGAGTTTGTGGTGAAGACTTAATTTTTTTTGGTGGATTTTACAAAAAGTTAAAAATCCATCAGCAAATCCAAGCTCGGATGCTTTCTATGATATTGCTAATATCTGTTGATAAAGGTATGTTAGAGGATACAGGGGGAACGGATGATATTCTACAAATACAGTTACAAGGAAATACAGAAATAGGTAAAAAATGAGCACATAAAAAGTAAAAAAGTTGTTTAAAAAATAAACCATATGTGCAAAATTCTGTATCTTTACAAGTAATCTTGTTTATATTCTGAGGTCAGATAGAACTAAATCGCATCTTTTGAAGACCAACGAAATAAATTACACTCTTTTGGATATCCCAAAGGTTACAAAAGTACGAGTATTGTTTAGCGTAATGGTGTAATCGTATCGTGAAAATTTTGCAATTTTTCGCTTTCAGTTCGGAAAAAAATATGCTTCGCAAAAGAATTTCAACAAAATTCCGCATATTACTTTTTTTCTTTTACGAAATTTTGCATCGCCTTCGCTTCCTTTTGCAAAATTCATTATTGCAAAATTTTGCGTTCGCTGGAAAACTCTAAGTACGAGTCAGCTTTTGACACGTGAGTGCCGAATTAAGTACTGTATCACTTTAAATAGATTTGATTGTATACATCGAGTTAAAGCTATGTTCATTATCATTATCGTACATAAGTCATGATCTGTTTTATTTCAGAGTTACCTGTGTACAGCTTAAAGGAAGTGTCAGAGCACTGTGATAGGGAGGACGCCTGGACTGTTATATATGATAAGGTAGGGAGGACGTATGGACTGTTATAAATGATAAGGTAGGGAGGACGCCTGGACTGTTATATATGATAAAATAGGGAGGACGAATGGACTGTTATATACCATAAGATAGGGCGGACACAAAGACTGTTTTATATGATAAGGTAGGAAGGACGCCTGGACTGTTATATATGATACGGTAGGGAGGACCCCTGGACTGTTATATATGATAAGGTAGGGAGGACGCCTGGACTGTTATATATGATAAGGTAGGGAGGACCCCTGGACTGTTATATATGATAAGGTAGGGAGGACGCCTGGACTGTTATATATGATAAGGTAGGGAGGACGCATGGACTGTTATATATGAAAAGATAGGGAGGACGCCTGGACTGTTATTTATGTTAAGATAGGAAGTACGCATGGGCTGTTATATATGATAAGATAGGAAAAGATGGGGTTGTTTAGGTTTATAATGTTTAGGTTTATATTGTTTGGGTTTGTAATGTTTGGGTTTATAATATTTCGGTGTATAATGTTTAGGTTCATAATGTTTAGGTGTATAATGTTTAGGTTTATAATAATAGGTGTATGATCTTTAGGTGTATAATGTTTAGGTGTATAATGTTTAGGTGTATAATGTTTTGGTGTATAATGTTTAGGTGTTTAATGTTTAGGTGTTTAATATTTAGGTATATAATGTTTAGGTGTATAATGTTTAGGTGTATAATGTTTAGGTGTATAATGTTTAGGTGTTTAATGTTTAGGTTTAAAATGTTTATGTGAATAATGTTTAGGTGTATAATGCTTAGGTGTATAATGTTTAGGTGTTTAATGTTTAGGTTTATAATGTCACAGAATACCTGATGCATCATCCCGGAGGTGAAGATGTACTACTGGAATACATAGGTTAGTGCTTTATTTACAGAGCATCATGCTGTATCATATTTGATTATCTCCAAGCTTTTACGCCAAAATGCGCAAATAATAATAGAAAAATCTGGTATAAGTCGTTTTAAACAAATTTCCCCTTCCAGAGGCAATATAGAATTGTAAGATTAGTAGCGATCACCATCGATAATTTTTCGACGTAAGCCCCCTTAAGTTTTTCGCGAAAATTCCCTTTAAGATCGCTCTCAGGTTGCATTTGATTGTGAATATGAATTTGTAGAATTTGAATAGCAAATTAATAATAACTTTTTATAACACATTTATTTTGGTTCGCTGGGCCATACAGTTTTTGGACAGAAATTTTCACTTTTTTGTTTCTGAACTCTTATGAATCATTATATGCATCGATTATTTTTATTACTTTGTTCTTTACTTCACTAAGCCAAAATGTTTAAAACGTGCTGAAGACAACAAATTTAAATTTTTTAGGATACGATGCAACAATTGCATTTCGAGGGGTTGGGCACTCTAGAACTGCATTCAGGATCCTAACCAAATACTGCATTGGTATTCTGCCCAAACATGAACGCTTGAATCTGATTGAGCACTGAAGCCGGCTTATGTACATAGTATTGGGCCTTTACTAGTGATAGTTTTAAATTATTAAAAGAAAATGACAAAATAATTGAGAGAGCAAGAGAATGATACAGTGAGCACCAGAAAACTCTGGAATAGGAAGACGACATTAAAGCATTACAAAAGTGTACTTGATGTTGTTGCAAAGAAAAAAAATTACAGTGACTTATTATTAGCGTACACGGCACAATTTATGTGTCTCATGTTTATTCAACTATTAAAAGTAATAATAAGAGTCTTAAGGTCGTTTTCTTGTTTCCGATTTTTATGGTTCTCACCGTAGGAGATGAGGTTTACCACTTTTCTTTTTATTAAGCTAAATAGTCAAACAACAATATAAGAAATGTTTCTGTGTATTTTCTTAAGACATTTTCAAAAATTAAAAGTCAGATTGTCTGCCTCCAAAACTTAACAAAATGTAAACCAAATCAACCATTGTTATTTTTGGTGTCAGGTACTTTCCCCAAGGGCGACTTCCCAAGCGGCAACTTTCCTAAGTGTTAACTTCCCAAATGTGCAATGTCCCATGTGGCAACTTTTCAAAAGTTTGGTAAGGTGTTCTGAGGCGCTGTAAGTTGCAATGGGGGCCGAGCGCTGTGGCTAAGACGGGCTAGGGGGCATCGTTGCGGCTAGAACATGCTAGGTAGCCGAGCGCTGCATTTAAGACACACTTTGGAAGTTGCCGCTCGTGAAAATTCCTTTAGGAAAGTACCTAATATCGTTTTTTATTAAACATTGTTACACTTTTCAATAATTGACCTGAATATTCATTCTTGATTCTCATTCGCGTTGTTTTAGGGGTATCGCAAAAGTTTCGCATTTTTTGCATTCTGTTTGGTGAAAAAGCGGGAAATTTCGCACTGTTTGTTTTGTGAAATTTTCGCATTATTTCGGTAAACAGATGAATGCAAAATTTTGTGCAAAAATCAAACATTTTTCTTGAATTGTTTTCTCTTAATTTTTAGAAAGTTTTCGTTCGCTGGAAACCTGCATCCAGCCGCTGGAGGTAGAAGGAGAAGTTAAAATCTATGCGATATTATTGGTGCTATTTTGTAACTTTGCAGCTACTCTCTTTATAATTTTACGCACAAGTACAGTGATAACCAGAAAACTTTGGGGTAAGAAGTCGAGTTTTAAACTCAAGTTATGGCTTTAACTAAAGTTTAAAGAACATCAGACACAGAAGTTGTCGATTGTAAGCAAACCAATTTCACATATAAAGGGATTTAATAACTTGCTAGTAAAACTATTTGCTTTGTAACAGCATCAAATGCACACCAGTATTGCTTAATGTCGGCTACCTATTCTACAGTGTTCTGGTTATCACTGAAAAAGAGAAATTTTATTTGTTCATACACTATAAGTTTACCACATTTAAGTTCTTCATAATAAATCTTCACTAATAATTAAAAACATATTTATAATTTCAATCTTTTGTGAAAGAAATTGATTCTTTGCCACAAATTAAAATTTTTTACTTCATATATCTTTGCAACCTGTTGGTGTAAACCTTTGATATTTTAAATTTAGATTATTGAATCTTACAGAATTCAAAGTTTTAATTTTCTAAGGTCTACGGCATTGGGCTGCAAAGATATAGGACACATAAAATCAAAGGTTGTGGCAAAGACTCCAGTCCGGGCAAAGACTTAATTCCTTTACTAAGGAATTGAGTCTTAGCCACAAACTCCGATTTTCTAGTCCCTATATCTTTGGAACCCAATGTCGTAAACCTTTGATATTTCAAACTTATATTTTTTGGTTTAACAGAAGTCGTAGTTTGAAATTTCTAAGGTATACGACATTGGAATCCAAAGATCTAGGAATTAGAATATTGGAGTGTGTGTCAAATACTCAATTTCTTTGACGCGTCACACTCACACATACAATCAAAGGTTATGGTCAAGACTACAGTCCGGAAATTTTGTCAGATTATCACATGGGGAATTTTGTATACTTGAAGCATCTTGTTTCACACAAACCTTTTATTTTAAATTAAGCTCATCTAGATTTGATGTCATTATTTGCACTGCGCGGTTATCATTATTGTGATATTTAGAATATGTTTGCTAACATTATATCGACGTGTATGTTTTTCTATTGTATTGTTTTTAAATAAAGTGCGTAATAGAGATATTGATTTTATTTTTGAAAAACTTAAACTTAAATTTGTAAAAATCAACATTTCTTTATTGTTTAAACAAACGAGTTATTATTATAGTAGTGGGAAATTTTGTATTTTTTCTAAAAACACATCTTAAAAAAGTTTACTTAAACAACAAAATTTGAGATTTTGGAACAAAATTAAAAACTTGTCTGGGAAATTTTGCTTTGCGGAATACAATAATCTGAAAAAAATACACAAAAAGCGCAATTTTATATTTTATAATCTTTGCGGGGGTGGGGGGGGGGGGTTTATCAAATAAACAAACGAACTGCGGAACTATAATTGTCAACAAATAAAATGCAAGAATGTTTTGGGCGATCATACAAAGAAAATTTGTTATTGATTCCATTTTCAGATTTTTAAAGTGTGCTCAATAGCTTTAAATTAGTCAACGTTTAAACATTCTCTATTAAGAAACTTAATGTATAATTTGAACCTAACCTCTCCAATATAATCGAGTAGAACGATAGAGTGGAACGATCGAGTGGAACGATCGAGTGGAACGATCGAGTGGAACGATCGAGTGGAACGATCAAATGGAACGATCGAGTGGAACGATCTAGTGGAAAGATTGAGTGGAACGATCAAGTGGAACGATCGAGTGGAACAATTGAGTGGAACGATCAAGTGGAACTATCAAGTGGAACGATCGAGTGGAACAATCGAGTGGAACGATCGATTTACAACAGAACTTTATGAACTATTGTCTGATATGTTGATCAATATTTGTCAAATAACCCATACAAGTTATCTTGTTTACTTAAAGGGACAGATCGGCTATGTAAGGTAGTTGAAATGAGTATGCAGTCTTGTGGACAAATTCTTTAGAATTCATTTAAGACATATAAAACGTTTCCACGATGTATAATTACTGAATTAGAGTGCATAGTTCACGTTCGAAATCACGAATTTGGGTGGGTACGTTTTCAGAATAGGTTTTTTAAAATTTATTAAATAACGAGAACAAAAATTTAAACAAAATTCTACAGTAAACTACAGTGAATCCATCCAAAAGAACGATTTTAAACGTCGACTTTGCGCTTAAACTCAGGATTTACAGATCTTTAAAAAGTTTTATATGTCTCAAATGAATCCTAAAGAATTTATCCACAACACTGCTTAATCAGTTCAACTACCTTACACGGCCGGTCTGTCCCTTTAATCGCAATCAACCTTTAGCCTTATAAAAAGTTAAAAAAAAGAATCGGCAAAAGTGGGTTCGAAAGTGATAAACCACTGACAAATATACATATAGTAATCTTAAGCACTATCGACTGAAGTGATTTGTACTTTAACTGTGTCAAATGTTGGTTCATTTCTTTGAACTTCATATTAAAATTAGGTTGATGGATGAATGCCGGAAATTAGTTCTAAGGTCAAAGAATATCTTCATATGTGTCCTGAAGTAGAGAACTAATAATTTAAAATAATAGATAGATATATAAATAAAGTTTATTGCTTAAATGCATGAATCTGTGTTTGTAATGAATGGGTTAAATGTATTAGTAAATAATGGGTAAGCATGATATTTCTGTAAACCTGAACTACATTGTACATTATTAACTATCTACATTTGTAAACTTCTACGTAAAACTCATTATTTATTTGAACTGCGCTTCAAATGAATACATAGAATGATTACTTTAATCATGTAATATATAAACGACGTATGTCTTAATTGCGTCTAGTTAAACTGTGCTATAAATATGCAACATGATTATCTTAATCATGTGATAGATATAACGACGTAGACAATGTAATTACATCTATTAACTTTAACTTGTAAGATATAAACCTCAAATACATCAGTTGATATAGAGACTCTGATTTTATTACTGCGAGAGAGTAATCATATCCTTGTTCCAAACAAATGAGTTGAAGATCGTGCCCATTGGTTTGACATTGATCGATCAAGTGCTTGTGTCCCTGGAGAGACATTGATAGCTGATTGCCCCCATTGGTTTGGCCTTGATCGATCAAGTGCTTGTGTCGCTGGAGAGACATTGATAGCTGATTGCTCTCATTGGTTTGGCCTTGATTGATTAGGTTCTTGTGTACCTGGAGAGACATTGATAGATGATCCGGCCCATTGGTTTGGCATTGATTGATTAAGTGCTTGTGTCCGTATATACATTGATAGCTAATCGCGACCATTGGTTGGTATTGATTGATTACGAGCTTGTGTCCTGGTTGACATTGAAAGCTGATGAGATTTTATCCAGGTTTTACATTGATAGATTAGGTGGAAAATAGCTCTTGGCTGTTTTACTCAATAATGATATAAAAGCTATTTACTATTTCAATAAATTAACGAGAAGAACTATCAGAGATCAGGGTGCGAGTTTTTCTGAAGCAAAATAGTTTATACATTTTTTAGAATAACTACGGTTTAAAGTTATTTTCTGACATGTACACATCAAATTTTAAAACATATTTAATTAGTTTTACATAAATAACAATTCCTGGTTTCCTTAATCCCGCTAACTATCTCTCTAAATCTTTATTATCTATGAGAAGTTTAAGAGAGGTGATATTTACATTTTCTTTTTAAAGAAATTATACTCGGTCTTAGACGCATTCAAAGTTAGTTTGTTATAGTTTGTTTGCTTTAAACCAATATTTTAGAAAGCTCAAAATTTTCCATCTCATAAAAGTCGTGTAAACTTTTGGAAGAAAGTTGCAGTGTTGTATCATCGGCAAAAAGAATTGTAAAAAATGTCGATGCTTTAGGAAGGTCATTGATAAGAATCAGAAATAAGATTGGTCCTAATATCTACCCTTGTGGAACACCACAGAAGATTTCTTTGAGTAAAGAGTCTACAACCCTGATTGAAGTAAATTGTTTTCTTCCATTTAAATAATTTTTAAACTATAAGTTAGAAGTCCCACGAAATCCAAAGTGTTCAAGCTTGCTCAGTAGAATTTCCACATTACAGGTATCAAAAGCTTTAGTTGAATCTATAAAAAATCCCATTTTTATATTGGAACTTCTATGTATCGATATCTAATTCATACTTGATCAGGTAAAGGTTTCAAGGGGTGATAAATCGGACATTGACCTCTTTGCATTGAGGGTCATTTGAAATCACGCTTACAGCCCCTTTAAGAGGTTATCAAACTTATTCCCTTGATAGTGTATTAAGGATCACAACATCTTACATGGGTTTAACAAATATTGCCCGACCCGCAAGCCTTCACAGCTCCTGAGTCTTGATTTCATCTTACTTCTACTATTTTATGATTACCATTGTATGTTTCATAAAAATTATGCAGTACAGACAGTACATTGCAGTACATTCTTCTATTTTATGATTACCATTGTATATTTTATAAAATTATGCAGTACAGACAGTACAGTGCAGTACATTCTACTAATTTATGATTACCATTGTATATTTTATAAAAATTATACAGTACAGGCAGTACATTGCAGTACACTGTACCTTTACCATTTTTTTCCTACCTTGAGGCTAGGTGAGGGTTTATCTATAACATCTTTAGTCAGCACATTAATCATGGTTTAGCCAAGGAGTATGAAATAAAAGGGAGTTACAACTGACGCGGCCCGCCCTACAATATGATTATATACATGCTTTGCAGACGGTACTCTATTTGT